ATTTTCTGAATTTTTTTTATTTACCTGAATAAAACGGATTAAAGTGGACTCGGAGGCCGTGTTTAATTCCTATGATCCCAAGCATTAATCCTCGCATACACACACGTGGATTTCCTATTAAAATTTGCCTAGAAATATCTGCTTTTTAAGAATTGAACGAAGCGGGCCAATGGCAATGACAAGATCCAACAGGTCCCGAACGAGGATAAAACACAGATGGCCACTCGCACCAAGTGGTCCACAAGATACCTTTGTCCTCCTGCAAGTCAGCAACACGGGCACTCCAGGACTGGAAAGGGTACTTCTCTTTTCTCCTCTGTCTCTCCAGTTCCCCTTCCCTTTTCCATCTCAACAGAAAAACATCACACGTTCTACTGCTACATCACATCTCACCGCTCTCTTCCTTTTCTTTCTCTCTCAGTACTTTCCTCAAACACTGGATATAACAATATAAAAACATCGAAAAAGAGAGATGCTTCTCAGCCATTTGCAGAGCTCCCACCCATGGATCTTACCGCCTCGAATCCCCAGACTGAATCAAACTCCTTCTTCACCTAAGAGGTCGTTACTTCTCCATCTTCAGTATCTGTACGCGCACGTTCTTTTGAGTTGATGTATGTAGCATTTTAAACTTATTTTCTGGAGTCAAGTACAACATTGACAATAACAAGAAGTGGACTTCATTAATTGAGATAGTTAAGACAGTGTGTGGACCTTTCATGGTGAATGTTGCTCTCACAAAGATTTTTCCAGGAAAATATGTTGAAGAATTATTTTCCTACATAGTCGAGAATTGTTCGGCTTTGTTTGATTTCTTGGATGCAAGATACTCTGTAAGACAGGAGTTTCTTCAAGAATATTTTATAGTATCAGCCCGATAGAGGTCTATTTTGTTCTCTGCTGCTCTTGGTTCCTGTCCGAGCATTTAAGATGGCTGCACTCAATATGTTTTTTTTTTCCAACAGAAAAGATGGAAAAGTGTGCTAAATTCATGTCATGTTCGTACTTTGTTTTATAGGATGATGTCAACAACTTCACACTGACAGTGTATTTTTACAGGAAATCGTTTCCCTGCCGATTTTGGTGGATAAAATCTCCTGCTCCTGGAGCATGTAAGTTTGGATTATGCAACCCTGGAGGTGAGTTTGAAGCCGTAACCCTTTACCACTCGTTTAGTGCTCAAGTATGATGCCAAGGTCAGAACTGTAGCTAGATTGGGGTTCTGTCTACTTAAATGTAGTATCAAGTTCATCTATTTGTTTGACAAGGATGTAAATTTTTACTTAGAGCCCATAACTTCTGAGGCAATAAGTTTGCAACGATTTCAGCACCTCAAATCAAAGAAAATGCTGTATCAATCTGTTTTGACATTAACTTATATGTCAATTGTTAGCATAATCCTTCCTATTTTGGTGCTTTGCTGATGCTACATAATCATTTTTAAATGAACAGTGATAACATTTTATCTTAAAAAATACATTTTCAGGGAATTGTAAAGCCATTAATCAAAGCACATGGTATAAGATCGATAGTGTGGTGTATACAGATATTCCAGATAATTCACATCCCGAGTTCCTGAGTTCGAAGCCAAATAGTAGCTCTGAGGTAAGCATTAAGTGAAAGAACCTGAATATGGAACAAGTTAAAAGCTGGATACACTGTAATAGAGTAATGGGACCTTCCTTTTCCATTCGTGATGTTTCCACAACGAGGAAATAAAAGAATGGTTTGGTTGCATTGATTCTTACTGTACTTAATGTGTACAATTTTACATATTTGGTTCATGGCGTTTTCTTTTGGTGTACATCCGGTACTGAAAGAAAAGTGGTCTATATTGATATACGATATTTCTGCTTATCTCGTTGTAGTCAATTTTACAACTAAATGTGTTTGTTGTAATTTGTCATATTTATGTTGATGTGATCTACTGTCTGTGCAGGATTCCCAAGCTAAACCTACAATTGGATTAATTGCAATGTGTTGCTTATTGACACACTTAAATTCTGCAAATACATTAATAAAGATTGTCCAAGACTTGCTTCCCTCCTTGGCTGGGACTTTCGGAACTACAAATTCCCCATTTGCTTGTGTATCTAATTCCTTGAACAAACCAACACCTCTGCAGTTGGATGTGTCCTTACCCTCATTTCAAGATATTAAGTGGAGCTTATCACGCCTACTTTATTTGTTCAACATGCAACTTGAAAGAAATGTTGCTACGTAAGTGAAATAATAAATTTCCTTGTTCTGGTCCATGTGCCTGTTTTTCTCTCTCTATCAGCTAGATCACAGTAAGTTTTGTGCGTTATTGATTTGAAATCTTGATAGTTCCTTTTGAAATGAAATCCCTTATGTTTTGAGGGATTAGAAGATAAGATGTCATCAAGACATTATGATACAAAGTTGATGTAGCTGCAGTTAAGGGAAAACAAACCATGGATTTGTTCTCCTGTAAAACAAAATAAGTAGAGTTCTAATGGCATAAATCCCAAGCATGTTTGTACAATCAAATGGTCTACTGATCACCAATTATGCCAGGAAGGTTTTCTATAGTTCTATCTGTCAATTATTCACTCTTAAATCAAACTGTGTTATTCTGCATTAGGAGTTTTGTGGTAAACTTGGCTGCTTGGGAAGCATTGCAATCTTTTTGAGTGTATAATGGGTTACTAGATTTCTGAGATGGATATTTAAATTAATATTTAGCAAACTTTTGTAAATATGTGCACAACTTGATCTTTAGGGTTAGAATTTTGGTACCAAAGTACTTAATTGAAACCTTAACTTGAAAATTATACAGTCTGCGTAATGTTCTGGTATCTGTTAAATCTCTAAGGGTTAACATTTGGGCAACAGAGTATTTCAATGAAACCTTCACTGGAAAAGGACATGGTCTGCTTAAGGTATTTGTTAAATCTCTTCCATAGTTTAAATTCCCACAAAAAATAAGGCGCCTAAAAAATTTAGTATCAATGATTGGGTTATATTGGCAAGTTATGTTTTTCAGCATGTGAAAAGTTATGAGGGTCCTATGTTTTGTTCGTTGTTTTTCAGTGATCATTGTTGTTGTAAACGTGTTGTAGGTCCTTTGTGGTGCTACTCGTGGCTTGCTTCTCATTTGTTGTCATTGGAGGTTTCCTGTTTTTCAAGTTCAGGTAACCTACCAACAACTGCTCCCTTTGGAGAATACAATGACAAAGGATAGTTTTGTTACTTTCTGATGGAAAATGGAACTGTTTAGCTTTATGCATGCCTGCACCATGCCTTGATATTTTTGTCTCCAAAACCTCTTGGTTTGGAACTTTTGCAAGATTGCAATGCACTTATTTTGCCATAATCCTTTGGCTTATGCAGATTGGAGGGACTATGTGGAAAATTAAAATGTATTGCATGGATAAAGCTATGCCCATATTTTTATTTGAGGATCTTTGTGCATTTCATACATTAAGATGTAGAGTTTAAACCAACAAACTTTTAATTTACATGTCATCTATATGCCTATCTTGCAGGCTATCATTTTTGTAACTAAAGTTTCATTTTCCCCAGGCTTATTTTAGTCACAGCCATTGCCTCCAGTCTTCATGTTGTCACCTTTTTTGACGGATATGATGAGATTTTTAAACATTTGGTTGACATTGGACTTTCAGTGCCTTATGTTTGTTCCTTCTATGTGCTCTATTTTCAAGTTGATCAATGGAGAAAAATGTGCAAACATTGCATAAAGAAGTTCCATCTAATGATGCCTCCATCCTGTATTTTGTCTCTTAACTATTTGAAACAGACATTGGAGAGGATCTCTTCAGGTTTGATCTAGTTATAGCTCATCTCTGTTAACCAGATGTAAAGTTTCCATTCTATAAGCTGAAAATCTTCTATGCGAGCTTTTTTAGTAAAATCATTTTCCCTTTATCAATGCCAACCATTCTTTCTTCATCAAGGAACTCGCTCTAGCTGTGATTGGTTGCTTACTTGGTTCTTCTCTTAATCAACTCTGGCTGCATCTAGTGCTCTCACTTGTTTGCTAATCTGGGATTGTGCTATGTTTAACAATACAGGGGTAGCCAATCTCTGGAGGACTGCTTCTGGGAAGCTTGGGCATGTTTGTGTTCATCTTCTACTCATTTAAGGGTGCGTTAAAGAGGTGAATGCTTACAGGAGTGATTATTAAGGGTGTAGGGATTAAAAGCTATTTTAATGTGTTTTTTGGGGGAATGTTTAATATATAAGAAAATGCATGATTTTGTTTTGGGTGGGATTTTATTTTATTTTTGTTGGGGGGTTGTTTACCTCTTCCAAATGCCACCATACATGATTAATAGTGGCCTTTGTAATTTTGCACGGATTTACCTCCAAGCCAACTTGGCTTTTGGAATTTCTAAAGCTCATTCATTAGAAAGATTTTCCAACATTTTCAGAATTTTTTACTTGCATTTCTCTATTCTAAAGAACTTGATTATATATGGAACTGCAGCAAAGAACACGAGTTGAACGCGTTATTGGCTTTGTTCTTGCTATATGGGGTATTTTGTTCTACTCTCGGCTACTGAGCACAATGACAGAACAGTTCAGGGTAAGCTATTGGAACAGGAACTACTTACTGATGCTGAATTGTATTTAAGTTGCATTCTTAAGACTGTTACTTGGACAGCATAACATGCAAAGACTCAGGGAAGGGGCACAAATGCAAGTTCTTGAGACTGATCATATCATCATTTGCGGAGTAAACAGTCACCTTACTTTCATACTAAAGCAGCTAAACAAGTACCATGAGTTTGCTGTCCGCTTAGGTACTGCTACAGCTAGGTAATTAATTCTCATCTGCTAGGACTGTTCTGTTGCAGTATCGTGTGCTGTACGCACCTTTGATTATGTTTTGTATGTCTTTACAGGAGGCAGAAAATTCTACTTATGTCTGACCTCCCAAGGAAGCAGATGGACAAGCTAGCCGACAATATCGCCAAAGATCTTAGCCACATTGATGTCCTCACCAAAAGGTATGGTATAATTAAATCCTCTTTGCTAATTGCTGCAGGGCTTCTGCAAAATCCCTCAACCTTGTTCTTTTCTTTCCCTGTGGCTTTGCCAAGAGTTCCTTCTTTCGTCATCAACATCCTTTGGTTGTAACAGTTGTTTATTTTGGCGATAATTTAATTTCGATGCAAATATTTCATTACGTATGAATTTCTCTCTTTATAAAGCACACCAAGCATCTAGGACTTTTCTTTCAACAACTTTCTTCTCTCTTTATAAGGCACACCAAGCATCTAGGACTTTTCTTTCAACAACTTTCTTCTCGTTAAAGAATTACCCATCAATAAAATTATTTTATAAATTCAAACAACCAGAACATATACATTACATTTGAATTTTGACAACCTATCTGTGAGTGTTCTGTTTTCACATGTTCAGCTTCTTATTCGTACAGTTGCAACCTTAGCTTAACAAAATCATTTGAAAGAGCTGCAGCTGACAAGGCACGTTCCATAATTATACTGCCAACAAAAGGAGATGGGTAAGAAATTCAAAGCAACATTTGTAGGACTATCTGCTCATATTAATTGACATGTTAGCAATATGTCACACAAAACTGCTTCCATTTCATTTTGTGGAAATCATCTTGTAGTACTCGGACAAGCACCAGAGTTGCTTTGTTAATGATAGAGATATTCTTACCATGGTAAATGTCATTTTTAAGCTTATCTGTTAACCTGTAAATATTGTGGATAATATATTTGGATCTGGGTCCAAATTGTATCAATGAGCCATGTTTCCTTGATGCTTTATCGTGATGACTGATAAGGTTTGTACCTTAATTACATTGACTGAAGGAGTGCTGTCCTTCAGTGTCTTTTGTCCACTATGGTGGTCATTGGCCCTTACCATCAGTAGTAGATGAACTCAAGATTTGTAGGAAATATATTAGACCCTTCCAAGATACTTCCCTGGATTTTGTTCAATATGCAACAACGAAACTTACATAGAGTATGGTCATTAGCAACAAAGAAACTACAAAGATACCACATTAAATTGACTGCATTTAATACCTTTTTGTTAATTTTTTCATCACTATTTGTACTTTTGCATGTCATTATCATTACTGTTGTAATTTAATCCATTGATCAACTGCTTCCAGATCAAGTACATGACATAACTTGAAGTGTTCCCTGCTGTCTCCTTTTGTGCCTTTTGATCTCAATTTTGGCCTTTGGCAGCTTGCTAGCGATACCAATGATTTTAATTTGCATGCACCTGAAATAATCAACATGATGACTTTCTTGAGGTGTTGGCCAATAGGACTTTGCTTGACCAAGAAATACTGTAGCTCTTATAGGGTTTACAGGAATATGGGGAAGGATAAAAGGATGTTGGATCTAATGGCCTCTGATTTTGTTAGAATGATGGAACTGACCATTACAAGTCTCACTTTTTGTGCATCTGAATCTTGCTTCTTTTCTTAGTGAACAGATCATCTATGTTTTGGCAATGTACAGTTCTAAGAATTTGTTTGCGAAAGCAAGACTAGGAAAAAGCTAGAATTATATTGGTTTTTGATCTTCTATTGATTAGGTATGAAATCGATACCAATGCATTTCTATCTGTGCTGGTCCTTCAACCTATTGAAAGGATGGATTCTGTTCCCACCATTGTTGAGGTATGTTAGGTTTTTCCTGATCACTTAATGAAGTTTATTGTGCAAAATTTAACTGAATATGGGGTTCATTTTGATATACAGGTTTCAAACTCCAAAACATGCGAGCTTCTAAAATCAATTTCAGGAGTGAAAGTGGAGCCCGTGGAAAATGTTGCATCCAAATTATTTGTTCAATGTTCTCGACAGAAGGGGCTTATAAAGATCTACAGACACTTGCTTAATTATCAAAGTACGGTGCGAATTTCCCTTACATAAATATGGCTACCAGTATTGTCTGTGAGAGAGAGACAGTTTAGGTTTCCTTTTGGGTTAATATGCTATTTCCTACTGAAAGAAAGCAGCACGACCTAAATACTACTTGAACCTTACCAACTCTACTATCTGAAGCAAAAAAGAAAATTCCTGCCTAAACACAAATGGCTTTGGTTTAAATTAGAATGGTTCTGTGCAAGTTGGGTTAATTCTTGGGCTATTAAAACATATCCCCATACAATACCCCTAGAAGTTAATCAGTTTAAATAGCAGAACTTTTTCCTTTTTCTATTGTATGAAATATCTTTTCCATTGCCCAATTTTGTATTTGTACAGAAAGAGCTAATCAGTATCATGTTTACTCGTTGCAGAAAATGTATTTAATCTTTTCAGTTTTCCTGCTCTAGCTGGAATTAAATATAGGCAACTAAGACGTGGATTTCAAGAGGTAATGTCATCTGATGAACATGGTTCCAGCTAGAAGATAACTGACATGCAGTCCACTAAGTTTGATATTGTCTTCTTCAGGTAGTGGTTTGTGGTCTCTACCGGGATGGGAAAATATTCTTCCACCCAAATGATGATGAGGTTGTGCAGCAAGCTGACAAAGTATGTGGATGTTATGGATTTCTGAACTAGCATACATGATCTGTGCATTTAGGATCCTAACCTTAAGATGCAATCCAGTGAAACTTCTAATATCTATATGAAAGCAAAGAGTGGAACCTGAAATGCCAACCTATTTAGCCACATTAAACTGCTTTATCTTTTCAGTCTGACCCTGATTAAAAAATACTGAGGTTGTACTCAGAAAACTTAAGAATGATTATTGGATATTGTTGCAAATTGACAATCATATATCAGCCTCATGGTTTATTAATTTCTAGGTGTGCATTGTTGTTTTTATTGTTTCGCTGTCTTATCACATGCTGCCTATGGTAGCTGATTTTAATATTTTTAAATCCGATAAATCCAATTATCTACCTGGGAAAATATAAAGATAACAGATTAATTTCAAGGAACAACATGCTGCAGCAGTTAGTTTGCTGCCAGGATAAATCCAATGGTTCCAAATTTGACTAAGAACGGGCATGCATATGAGCCCTTGGCCTTGCATGTCAATGGGTTGATTGATTTGATTGTTGCTGCAAAATAGTGTTGCTTCTATCTCTAATTGATGATTGCATGTTTGAGACTCGGAGTCAAATGCCTGCAGTTCAATGGATTTTACTGTATTTGGATCAGTTAATGATGATAACTATAAACTAAATTAACATTTATTATTAAGTGGAAGTCGATGATGCTGTATAGTTCAATGGATTAGTTAAGTTACTATCTTCCCAGAAAAGATATTTTGAGCTTTAGGTTCTAGAATTACTATAAATTAGAGCAATTTCCAGTGTATGAAGGGGCACTATCTGTGATTTCCAACCATCACTGGCTGCATATAATTGTATGGTTGCCTAGTTTACCTCTTTCTTCATGTTTTACTTTGTGAATATCAATGGTTTTATGTTATGCAGTATATATCCTATATGCCATGCCATTGTGTTGTCTTATGTTATCTCATTGTCCACTTCATTATATAAATTTTAGATGGCTACTACTTCACATGGAAAGATATGTTTGTTCACAGTATGTTGTTTCAAATATGTTGGCTTCACTCATGTTATTGGGTTGATTACGGTTCCCCCTTGATCTTATTTATTTGTTCTCTAATTTGTTCGCTTTTGCTACATAGATCTTGTTCATTGGTCCAGTTCACGGTAATAGGAGCCTGCAAATTGCATATTCTAGTGTCTTCAAAGAAGGAGCTTCCTTTTTTCAAAATCTGGAAGTTCCGGAAGATAACAGTGACAATTTAAATTCTGCTATAGAATTGCGAAAAACACGACTTGAAAATATAGTAAAACGCTCCAACAGATCAGGGTCAAAGGTATCTTCTCCTAGAGATGATTGCTCAATCAGTAGTTTACTTTTGGATTATATTTGTTGCTTTGTATGATTGTTTTGCTTGTCTATGTAGGCATCAGACTGGAGTCTAGGACCAAAAGAACGAATTCTTCTTCTTGGATGGCGCCCAGATGTTGTAGAAATGATAGACGAGTATGATAATTATCTTGGACCTGGGAGTGTGTTGGTATGCTGCTATATAATTTAGAGCTTTTAACTTGTTTATTTAAATAGCTTTTCTCAATATTTTTCTTGCAGTTCATCTTCATACCTCTTAATTTAAATAATAATTGCTCCTCAAATTCAGTTTTGCTTACCAGAAATTTAAAATTAAATTACACACAAGCATTATAATGAGAACATGTATGATGTAGACGTGCAACTTATCAGAAATGGTTTAGGAACAGGCTATAAAAAATTATTGCTAACCTTAAGGCAATCAATGATCCAGGATACATATCCCATGGATTAATTGATTAGTAAATTGATACATTTATTCTGGAGAATAGAGGAATACCATGTTGAAGGTGGCATTGGATATACACAGTAAAGAGATGATTTAGTCAGCTGTAGTCTGTATTGGAGAATTTAAATGTTTCAGAATTGTTGTTTGCAGAATGCTTCTGTAGAAATGTACCATTATCATATATATCCTTTGTTTAGCTTCTAACTTCGTGAAAGTGTATATGGACATTTTGTTTGTTTCATTGTATCCGGATTCTCACCAAGAGGGTTTCTTTGTTGCACTTTTCCAGTTTTCAGCCCGGAAAGGATTTTACCAATAGCTTTTTGTCAATTTGCATTTCTTACTGAATAAGAATGAATTGCCTGTTTGTTTCCAGTCCCATTGATAACTTCTCATGTCAAAGCATAACTTTCTGTGCTTTGTTTCTCCTCCTCTTCATCTTCTTCTTGTCGAGTCTCCTCTTGCATTTAGTATCTGTTTAGCTATTGGACAATTTAAGTCTGGCATCCCCCGTGATTTGACTCATAATTTTTGGAACTTGATAGAACAGAACTTAATGTTTACACATGACGTGCTCTCAGCTTCTAGATCAAATGTGTTGATCTATAGTTTAGTTTCACCTCCTCTACAAATATATGCAGGAGATATTATCAGATGTGCCGTTAGATGAGAGGAAGAGGACCAGCAGCGTTGCTAATCAAAGAAAACTAAAAAACATCCAGGTTTCCCATAGGGTACTGTCTAATTCATCCAAGCCAAGAACAGCCATTTTACACCATTTTCTTTATTTTGTTTTTCTTGGAAACCTTCTTTTCTTTGAGTCTAATGCTTTATGATCTTTCAAATATTGCAGATTGGAAACCCCATGAATTTTGATGCATTACAGGAAACCATATTGGATATTCAGAATTCTTTCAATAAAGATGAAGATATTTCCTTTTCAATCGTGGTAATATCTGATAGAGAATGGCTTCTAGGAGGTAAAAATACGTGCCTTGGAGATA